AATATTTTTGAAGAAAAATATATGCGAGGGATGAATAAAACGTATTTTTTTTTTTTTTTTTATTATAGAATCGTTTAAATCGATTCTTTGAAATATCGAAATTATTTATAATATAAAAAATGTTTAAGTAAAAGTTGTTTATATATCGAAAATTAATGAATTTTACATGCGTCCATATTGCGAAAAGAATTTACATATTGGCGCCATCTGTGAGAAAAATTCGTGCCACTATCTGTTTCATATATTCTAGATATAGAATGTAGATACATATCTATAAATACAATACTATCTGAACAATATACAGAAAAATATACAGAATCACATGTATTCGACAAAATATACATAATTTAATTATACATATGATTATGAGAAAAAAAATTCTATAACTTATGCATTATAGCTAACTTATGCATTATATAATAAAATATATAAATATGAATAAATATTGCATGTATTGAATAAAAAATAAATTTTAGAAATTAAAATTTAATAATAAATGTTAAATATTTACGAGGAAAATTTATATCTGATTTATATTCAAATCAAAATTTTTTTAAAATAATCAAATAATATATTCTAAGTTAATCTAACCTAAAAATTTATTATTAATCTTTATTTTGGTATTCATTTATCTATTTCTCATCTTTTGGAATGAATTCAATATATCGAGACAAAGAAAATAATTTTTGTCTGAAAGTATTTCCTTTCTTCCTCTTCTTTTGAAAGAAGATTATCATTATAAGACATAAATTTTAAAAACGATAAGTTTCGAAATAAATACATATAAGTAAAATATAAAAATTTTCATATTTTTTAGATATATATATATTGTAAGTATATGTATGATAAATTTATTCAAATGAATAAAAATTCTGACATGTTAACACTTTATATATTTTTCAATTATTGTTTTCAATTTCAAACAAAATTTCTTTTTATTACTGTTACCATTTTTATATAATTTTTATAATAGCAGAGAATTCGTAAACTTATAATATTCATTATTTTCTCGCAGATAATAATTCTATTATAATGTGCACAAGCCGTATACTTTCTCCGAAATGGAAAGTACAATATATTGAATGACTCTTCGACCAATATATAGCAATTTTACATTATATTATGCCTCAAAGATATATCGCTTATATAAGTTTATTACGACGTTTTAGTAAATATTCTTTTAGTGATCTTCATCGATCATTTATTATATTTTATATTTTCAATAATTTTAAAAAAGTTAAATGAAATAAAATTTATATTAATAGGCCATTAATTGTATTAGACTTGGAAAAAAGTTTACAAAAAGAATTCTACAATTACTTCTACAAACATTTACATTTAATTCTATTAATAAAATTCGTAGAATTCATACATAAATATATTTTTATTAAATTGAATAAAAATTTGTTTAATTATTTTGTTTGATATTTTCTCTTTTAAAATTATTCCAATTTAATTTAATTTCTAAATATTTAATCATGAATACTTCTTTTTGGTTATTTAACTGTATATTTAAATTATTTCATATAATATGATATTTTATTTAACGAGATAATGTAGAAAGTAATTAAACTAAATTTATTTATAGCTATAAATATATATATTTTATAGCTATAAATTTTCTCAAATATATTGATATTTTTTAAATATTCTATAAAATTAATAACTTTGATATTATGCATTATAATTAATCAATTTCATCATTTAAAAGAAAATAGAAAAAGACAAATATACATGTTCAAAGCACGAAAGTTATTTAATTTATTCTTCTGAAACAAAGTTGCATTAAAACAAGCTTTTGTTAATCACAACTAAAAGTCGAGTACATAACGAGAATTTAACAAATGTTAAAATTTAATTCGTAAAGAACACGCGAAAGAAACGTTAAAAGAAACGATAAAACGTCGAAACTGTTGCAGTTTTAAGCTTTATGAAAAAAAAAATAACAACAATGTTATAGTTGAAACTCACGAAACTCATGATGCAGAAGAAACAACACGGTTATTGCCTAGTTGACCGACATTGGTTGTTGCCTCTTATCAGAAACAAATTTAAGAAAACTCTTTGCCTCAAATGTTTTTTTTTTTAAAGTGGATAGAGTGGCAGTTTAATAAATTTATTCCCTTAAAGAAATATACTCCATTTTTATGTATAAATAATAATACAAAATAAACAAAAGAAGTTCGTACACTGTATTAAGAAATCATGAATGAAAAGCGATCTAACGATCTATTATGAATCATCTATAATTATCTATTATTAATAGTCTATTATGAATAATCTATTATTAATTGTCTATTTACAAATAAAGTAATTTAAAAAAAAATACA